CGAGGACGGAGCCCACTTGTCCAAACAAAACTGCTTTATTCTGCAACTTTTTTTTTTTCACAAATTCATTGATTTGTGTCGGTTATGCAACTTTTTTTTTCTTGATTTGTGTCGACTTGTGTCTGTTTCTGTTTTTTCTACAAATTCTATTCTACCAATTGTCCAAACTGCTTTATTACAAATTCTACAAATTCTATTCTACCAATTCTTCAACTTTCAACTGGTAACAAAATTCTAAAAATTCTTTAAATTCTTCTAATTCCATAGTTACCAGTTTGTGCCTCAAAGTCTTTTAGTTTTATATTCAAACATAGAAAACTGATAGGATGTGTCGGTGACAGCTGAGAGTCTGAGACGAACAATTGTGACTGAAGTCAATAGGCCACGGCCCACGACCGACACTGACTATGGGGTCCATGGACCATGGTTTTGGGAACTTTGGTTCCAATAATTCCATGTCCGGTGGCTCATTACTCGACAATAATACCAAACACCAGACTGTTCTCTTACGTTACGCATTATTGTTCATTTTAATTTTTATCATTCTAATTTTTGTTGAGAAAATAATTAACATACAAAATGATGACCTATGATTAGTTTTAAGTTGAGTACAAAAAAGAAGCTATGAGTTATTTAACATACTGTTATATTTTGCTTCACGTTAAAAATTTGAATCAAGTAGTAACCGTGAAACAATAATCCAATTACACTATATCAATCGGTTAGAAAAAAATAGAGTTAAGCTTTGCTTCAGAGAAAACGTATTTGTCAGAAATCCATATGGTGGCCCTCGATTTCAAAATTATAAAGATAAATATTTATTGTTGGGTGAGTGAAAATGTCAAAATTGTAACATTCACACCTTATTTATTAGGATCATCATTCAAAATTATGTTTCGATCGTTTGTCTTACACCGTTTATTCCGTCAGTTTCACACTAATATATTTGTTCTGCATGATCCATTTATTCAACACTACTACTTTACCATCACTATCTAGATCTTATCTAATAACTAAATTTTTAGTATTGTTATATTAATCTCAACTTTCTCATTTTAATCTGTTTTTTTTTTCTTCATATTTTACTTTACCCTTATTTTAAGTATATGTTATGCGGTTTCTAATAAACTAATTGTTTTCAAAATTTTATCAGTTTTTTTTATAAATCATTCAACATAACAAATGGATCATTGTTCATTTCTCTAGATAAGATTTTAGGTTACCACCCTTTTGTGACAAATTGTTGAGATTCTTAACATTACTCAGTTTCTAGAGAAGTGGTATGCAC